TTCATGAGAAGAACAAATGGGGTGGACTACACATTGTATATCATTTCCAATATAGTAGTTTTATGTAAATGGCGCCTACTTTTAAACTGTCGTAATTTTTATTTTCCGATTGGAGTTTCCCCTCCGTGTGTTTGTTATCTAACCGAGAAATAAATGAATATATTCACAGTTTTGATTTATAACTTATTTTCATACAAGTTTTTTCTTGTTTTTTTTTTGTTCCTATCAATTTTGTAGGAGGAAAACTCTTGTGTGTTATTGGAATTATTTATCGAAGTATCCGGGAGTACCTCGATGCATTTACATAATTATTATGTAGATAGTGAGACTTAAACAACTAAATATTGAAATGTAGGAAAAAAAATTGGAAATCATAATATTTATGATTTGAAATTGGCGGTCACTTCTGGTAAATAAAAATGTTGAATGAAATAAACAGTGACGGTGACACTGTCCGTGGTAGATAAAAAATATAAATACAATATATTTATGTATTTGATGGGGAATATCTTCTAAGTACCTGTCCAGCCGTATCAGAATCTATAGCCAAATTGGAGTATCAGACCGTTTCTTGACTAAAAATCCGTTGTTACTCCTGCTCCGACCTGGGCTTTGGTACATAATTGTGCTTTATATAACTTTGACGGCATAAAATCATGTTTTTTTTTCATTAATTTTTCGATAACAATCGAAGTAACATATTATAACATACCTGCTTTGAAGCTATAAACATCAAGTACGGATTTTCAAAAACAAATAACTGTATACAAATATTTTTCTTTACACACACATGTAACAGGAAGAAATGATTCATATTCGCTTGAAACGGTCCCAGCGGGACTTCACAAGCTTATATCTCGCGTGAAAACTGAATGCTTACGAGAAATATATCTATACATACATACATCGCGCTTCTCGAGCGTAACAACACACATCGTGTGTTTTTAGATGAAAAAATAATAAATATTTTACAAGCCTTTCTTATTTATAGTATGTGTTTATATACTACTGGTGAAACGTTTTGTGTATTAGAATGATTATAGAATGTTGGCATCATTTGTTAAAATACATCATCTTTTTTTTTAACTTTGCCCCACATTAGGATTTTCTCCTGTGTTGTGGGTGCGGTTACAAACATACAATTTCACATACACATGAGACACCCAGACCCGAAACAACAATTTGTGGATCACATAAAGAGTTGTTCCGTGCGGGAATCGAACCCGCGGCACGTTGCACGGCAGCCAGTTGCCCAGCCACTGCACCAACCATGCAGTCAAAGGCCGGCAACGCAACTGTGACTCCTCAGGTGTTGCAGGTGTCCATGGGCGGCGCCGATCGCTTACCATCAGGTGATGCGTCTGTTCGTTTGCCTCCTATTCCATAAAAAAATCTACTCATAACAGCAATCAACTGCGCTATCCTTCTCTTACTCTTTAAGAACATTTTTAATCATCTATAAAACCCATAGTTTCTATATCATGGTTAGAGATATTTTCTTGGTTAGCGATGATGCCTACGAAGAAACTCACATGACCTAATCAGTACTAAGATCCTATCCACAAAGGTCTCTGTTTTGGGGGAAAAAATCATCCTGTGGCTTCTCTCGGCCTGAGTGAAGTGAGAGGAAGAGTCAGACTCTTACTGACTTGAAACCATCCCATGCCTTCTCCTGCTCTGAGCCACGCAGCAGTTCGTAATTGTCCTTGGAGATAAAAAAAAGAGGAGAGACATAGCGTTGCCGCCCGGTCTCCATCAAAATGTGTGGTGGCTAATTCGCTCCTACGATACTGACGAAAAACAGTTACAGAATTCAAATTATAATGTTTTTATTTCATGTTATTTTTTATGACAAAGAATTTGGTAGTTTTCTAGGTCAAAAATAAATTACTTCAACGTTTCAGTACAATAAAACAATGAAAAATAACTATACTTTTATTCATCGATCGATCGATGCACTAAGTTTTAGATATTTTGTAGCTTATTTCTTATAAGTAAGCAATTTGACGCAACAATACTATGATGTCATAACACCGTTTTTCATAAAAATTTCATAGAAAAGCATCGTTTTTGACTTTTGGATGTAAGTATTGAAACCGCCGTTATGATGAACACAGATTCGGAATAACATACGAGTTACGAGTGCATTGTCGGCGTTTTGGGGATAAGGGACTCCGAAAATTTAGAGATTGAGGGAGGGGAAGGATTAAAAGCCTTCGGTAAACTTCCACGGCGAAGTACAAGAAAATCAGTTTTATAAACCTACATATAAAGTAGTTTATTTCAACAACATTTACATGCATTTAAGTAAGGTCAAACTCATAATCGATACTGTTTGAATCGAGTCGTGAGAATATTCAAGTCTTTTTTCTAAATCAATACATCCTTTGAAAATCCCATTGAGAGATCCGTATGTAAATTCAATCGACCATCGATAAGTAGTTGATATGCATACAAAACTACTATTAATCATTCATTGAAATTAAAAAAAAAACAAATGTTACTATTTTATTGATTATTATGTGAACTGGGTGAACGTGGTGTCATCGTCCATTGAAGGTGTTTTGCAATATAACTTTTATGCCCGTCGTTTTATGATCGAATTTTCCTTGTCTTAAAATTGTTTTTTTTTTGAGATCGGAGGCAAATAAGCAATTGGATCACCTGATTGCGTTCTCGTTTTTAATGTTCCGAATAATATTATTTTAAACAGTTGTTAAATGGCTGCCGATGGATCGTAGTTTCAGATCTGAAACTTCATCATCGCTGGAACTGCGGGTGCGAATACTCTATCAGTAGGAGCAGGAGAAAGTTGTTCTTTGTGATTTTTAGTGAATTCTATTATATCGTTGTCATTTGTCGTATTGGCTCGTAGGTTAAGGCGCCCGCTTCTCAAGCAAGGGTTCGAAACCTGGCAAGTAGGTACCAGTGTGACTTTTCCCGACTTATTGTACCTACCTACTTTCTATGATATTTTAAACACTAATGACATACGGTAAAGGAAAACATCGTGAGGAAACCAGGACTTATGATTTCTAAGTTTTAGTGAAAAGTTAAATCGCCAATCCGCCTTCCGTGCCTTCTCCGTGTGAGAAGACCCCTTTGCTCAGCAGTGGGCACTTGTAGACTCATGAGGATGATAATGATTTTTAGTAATTAACACGACTTTTTGTTTTATACAGAGCAGCAGAAGTCGTTTGACGATTACATACCATCAAAAAAAAATACCATCAAGAGCCAGCTTACCTCCGTTAATGAACACAGTCAGGGCCGAAAACTTAAGTATTTTATATCAAAATGATAACTAGACTAGAATATGCACATAATATAATAAAATATTTATATATGTATGTAGGTACAGGACACAGATAATATTGGTACCTACAGCGTCTAACCAGTTTTTTGCCGTGAAGGTCATCGATCGATCAAAGTCAATACAAAGTGACCCGTGTAATAGGTATAGGTATGGATTTTACCTATCGATTTTTGCTTTTGAAACTATTAAGCATTTAATTTGTAATGATATTCTATTAATATTTAGGGGTAACATCGACGTCTCATTAGTTGTTATAAGTGCCATATTGTAGTAGGTACGCTTATATGACTAAAACATCCAAAATAATGTAGTTCAATGTCCTTATAAGTGTAGGTAAGGTGCTATCACTGAGAAACTGAAATAAGTATAATAATATTTTAATCACCATCGGAAATCGAACTGTGCTAGACACTCGCACTAGCTATTCACCGCATCAATATGGCAATCGTGGCTAGTATAATAGCTTTTTCTATTTATTTTTATTACAAAAAATCGATTTTATTGCCTTCAAAAAATTTACATATCACCCTGCGAGTACCAGGAGCGCATAACTTTGTAAAGGGTAAATGATTTAATTATGCGAGCCAAAGTGTCAGCGCGCCACTTAATTTGATAGCTAGCGACACCTATATGCAAATGATACGTTACGACTAATTGAATATCTTTGTTCCAAAATGTTTGGGGACTCCTCAATGACTTTTGGACCCCTTCTATTTTGGGTATAACATTCAAATGTAATTTAAGTTACTTAAACGATGTGATCAAGTACGTGAAGTCAGGTCATTGCTATTATACCGTATTAAACGAGTTTTTGATTTTTTTAATCAGATTTCTTTCTGTCCTATGTTTTCACTCAAACAGATACTTTTAAAAAAAAAACGTAGCCCCAGACCCGAAACTAAAAGTTGTGGTTTACACAAATTGTTGTTCTGTGCAGGCATCGAACACGTGACACGTTGCACAGCAGCCAGTTGTCCAACCACTACGCCAACCATACAGTCTATACTAATGTAAAACGGGTTCTGTAAAGCTGCGAAAATGATCGCGTTACTTTTTTATAGTAAAGGAAGAAGCAAAAATGTATTTCTATTTATATAAAGAACAGGATAAAATCATTTTTTTACTGGTAAATCTACGGCCATCTTTTAAAAAGCCATACACGTACACATAATAATAATATTTAATAAATACTGTTTACTAGCAATGACGTATATACCGATCAGGGTCACAAGTTCAGAGCCGATATCAATGAACTATTGCAGTGAACCCACTCGTAGCTCGACTTAATTGGAGAAAGTGACAGAAACATTAGAAATGCATCGAATTGCTACTCGGTATTATAATGAAAAAAATAAAACTATTTCGCGCGTCTACCCGCCAGAATGAGGTTTTTTACATTTATTTTGTTCAAAGTTAATGGAGAAGTTTTAATTGGTTCCAGCACGTTCAGTGTTGAATTGACGTCACACGGACAACTTTAGTACTATATGTTTACGCGAAAATCAACCATAATTCGTATGCTTAATGGTAAAGAGACCTAATTCAAAAAGAAGGTTTTTGAATCTTAAAAAATATGTTTCAATAATAAGGTTCAATTTTGAAATACCCTTGTTTATAAGGTAGTTCTGTGTTCTGTAAAATAGACGAATTGTATATTAAGTTATCAAAAAAAAAAAAGGAAATTACCTTAAAAAAAATTGTATTTCACTAATATTAAAAACGAATTACATCACATGACACGAAAACATTGGATGGTTCCGAAACTTTGAGTGAGACTTTGAATTTCAGAGCATCCAAGATGTAGACTAGTTATAATGGCATTAAACATTGGACGATGCAATTGTGTTTTGGATCCAGTCTATATATTTAGCAACGGAGGTATAGACTCCTGGCCAGCCATCCCTGCCACATCCATATCCGAAGGAAACGACACCGACAGCCTCCCAAATTCCGTTTGGAGTCCTCTTCATCAGAGGACCACCGGAGTCCCCTCTGCAGGCGTCCTCTGCGAACACTCCTCCGGCACAGATCTGGGTGTCACTAAGGATAGCACCAAGTCTTTTGTATTTGTCGTCACATTCTTCCTTGTTGAATATTGGGAGACCAAGCTTCAGTTTTATGGGGCTGTTGCGACCTGTAAATAAAGGATTTCATTGATTTATTATTTATGCACAACACACATAAAGTAAATCGAGAATAAATACAGAGACAGAGGTACATAGGTACTGCATATTCCTATATGGAACCTCTTCCTGCAGTTCTTCGAACGGAAAAATGTAAGAGACACAAGACACTGTGTGACAAACAAAACAAGAGGAGGAATTTTGATTTATTTACTATTTTAATTATATCAATAAATAGGTTTGTGGTGTCACTCGAGAGCTATATGAATGTCGTGTATCAAATAAGAGATTTTATGTGTTAAGTTTTAATCTCAAGTAGAAAATCGAATCACTTCAAAAAGTCACTGTGTATATTAATAGAAGCAATATTATCAAACTAAATTAAGAATTGTACAAACGGACGTTAGGTTATTTAGAATGTATTTAGAAAAATATATCTTGGTAGTACCACTATGTATGTAGTGTCAATATTGGTTGTCAGTCTACTAAGGGCTGTTATTTTAATGGTAAGATAAAAGTTACATGGGGAATAATTATGATGCTGTCACATCATAATGTTTGTATAAAACAGTGACAGCAACAATTTTATTCCTCAGATAACGTTAATCTGACTATTGAAAAATAAGCTCTAAGACAACTTAAACACGGACAAACAGGTTAATACTATAAACAGGTATAAAGGTTATTAAAGATATAAAAAGTCAAAAAAGTATCGTTAATGTTTAAGTAAATATTATCCTTAAAAAGCATTTTAATAAAGATTATTTTTGACTAGCTTAAGGTCTCCTCTGAAACTGCACCACTTTTTTCTCCTTTTTCCTTCTTAAGGAATTTTCCAAATACAAATGTGCATGTATTTATACATATATGTAGTTACTTAGTACGTTTATAAATGACCTATCGTATATTCAATTACGTCATCAATCATTTCCTTATAAGATTTAAAATGCAAAGAAACACACTTCCGTAGGTAAAACCTCAATAAATTCCCGACACAAGAAGATCATCATCATCATCATCAATTAATGAATTATGTATACAATTCAACCATTTGACCTAGACGCCATTGATACACGTGATTGATAAGAGTATGCTATAGATAGAATGCACCTAACTTGACTACAAACTAGGTATATTTTCCTTTAAAAACGATTATTATGAAATAATTGTAAAAAATTGAGTATCTATGAGGAAACGACAATTAAAAAGTGATAGATAAAAATATTACGTATTATGTTGACGTTCAAATATCTCAATATAAGCATATTTAAAAAAAATAACATTGTCCTAACTCATAGATTACTTATTAAATTGTCCTAAATCCTAAATTTGATTTTAATAGAGTTAAGACAATTTTATTAAATTAGCACAGCACGACATTGTATATTATAATTTATAACGCTCGATAAAATATAGGTACTTTATCTATTTCCGAGTCTACTTTCAACTTTATTTGTACAGCAATTTTCGAATTAGTGGCTAAATATTAGTTAATCGTCAAGAAACTATTAACAACAAGACATACGCACATTTCCTACAATGTTTTAACTGGAAATTCTGAGAACTACTTCGGAAATCTATTAGACCTTCAAGGTAAGAACTAATTGCTGATCTAATACGCTAAACCACTGCCTACACATTAGGGAAAAAACAGACTATAATGATATTGATACATTCCAAGAACTTCGTGTACTTGTAAATAAAGATTTAGTTAGCAAAACATGACTGCAATATAACTACTCAGAGAGCGATGTATAATTATACTGAGTCATAACAATCAACGAAAATACGAACCGACCTTGCGTTCAAATTATACGTAAAACCCTGCACTATTCGATATGTTTATAAATCTAATACGTGGAATTAGTGGAAAATGGAAAGTACCTGTTAAAATCGATAGTTGTAGTTGATTGTGTACGTACCATTTAGGGTTTTTCCCCATCCAGCTACGTAAACATCGCTGCCGGCGTCCAACCGCGCTCGGTTTTCTACCAGACAGATTGGCTGGACGTAGTCTGGAAAATAAGCGGTTATTAAATAACATTAATGTTACAAAATGGTTGCTTCGTACGCGAATCGGACCTGCGATAAGACCCGCAACTACTGAGTGCCAATACACTATTCCGGATGGATATTCCAGTTAACATAAACCCATCTCCAAACATAACCAATGATGAGAAGTATGACTTCTATTTTTTTCTATATAAGTCGGCAACCATGCAGACGGAGTACCTGATGGTATGCAATCGGCGCCGCCAATGGACACTCGTTACACCAACAATTGATTTGTCGGAATCTTGTAGATTATTAGCGATTTAAGGATAGAGATGGGGATTGGCTCTCCAGTAACCTAACTCACTCGGTTAAACACAAAATAGTTTTTGCATCACGCCGGTTTTCTGTGAAGTCGTGGTACTCCGGTCGAACCGGCTCATTCGTGCCGAGGAATGCTTCACCCACATTTAACGATTATATAATTGTAGATATTGTATAATGATAAACTGTAGTGTATAATTGTAATATAAACTCTATATTAAGTTATGATTGAAACTATTTTTCTTCACATTTCTTCCAAATCTATGCTTTGTTTGTCTAGGCTGTTTTCACGATTAAGTTGATAGTTTGAAAATCAAAATGAACTTACATGTATAAGCAGCTCTGTTAGCCAACCTCACAATGCCGATATCATCACGCCTGTTCTTGTTCTTGTCAGAGTAGCCTGGGTGTGGGTAGGCAGAAGCCACTCGAATCTCTTGGGGACGGTCAGCGCAAACCGAGTCAATACAATCCACATCTTGTTGAGTATCATATTCTCCTAGGCGAACGGTTGTTCTAAAAGAAGGAAAAAGAAACTTATATGTAGGTCTACAAAAGTCACACTATCCAATAATCCACAAAATGTAATCGCGCGAAAAGCATTCTTTCAATAAAAAGAAGAGACGAGCATTTTAATAATAAAATTAAGTGATTAATAAACAACAGCATTTCTTATTAGCTTGGCATCACCACGTTTTCAATTCAAAAATTGAATTATTGGGTAGCTTAAAGTTTTAGGTTGCATTCCTAACAAAACTTGATGTGGGATATATGTGTCACATTTTCCTCCATCCAAAAATAAAATATAAAAAATGCTACGACACTATTAAAAGTTTATAATTAAAATGTTAGTAACTTTTCGAAAAAAAATTTCACAACTCAAAGAAATATATCAATTATTTTAAAAATGGATACAGCCATTTTTGAGTTATGGTTTGTTTAACTAACACAAGACATGTTATGTACTTTACTGAGTCTAAATATGGTAGTAAAATGTTCCTCAAAGAAGGAAGTCACATTTATTTTATCTAAACACAAAACTATATAGCTTAGGTTTATTGTTATTTTCCTTATACCTTGGTGTTTATTATGTATTTGTTTTCCTTACAATGATACACATATAATTAAATTGTTTAATAACTATAAGTTTTAATTTGATTACGTATGCGTCATTGCTGTTTAGAATATCGAAACTAATTACTTCCATGTAGCTCTGAAACTTCTATATTTTTAACGTTTCCCTGCACTATGTTACCTCCCCCGTGTTTGCCCTGTGTTGTGATAGTGTTAAACCAATATATAATTACACCGACATATATCGAAACTCCGACCCGTTGCACAGCAGTCTGTTACCCAGCTACTGCGCCAACCGTGCCAGTCATTTCACACAACAAACAAGTCGAAAAAAGCAACAGATATATATAGATTTTTATTCTTTTTTGAAATGCCTACTTAAAGATATCCATATCTGTAAATACCTAAACAACAGACAAAAAGGCAGATCTTACAATACAACATAATAACGAAATAAAAGGTTATAAAATATTAAAATAACTAACAAAGTTCCGACGGCCTGTTCTATAGCTCCTGTGATGCAGTGAGCAGCTGTCAGCACGTACCGATGGTTGATCAGAACACCACCACATTGGTAGGAAGTTGTTCCTTTACCTGTAGAAAAACAGACACATTAAAAAAAGAATAAACGTTCATTATGTTATTGCTAAGGGCCCAATATTCATTGGCCAGACCAGACCATGGTTGTATGTATAACCTATCGCGCAGTCATAATATCTAGAAAGATACACCAAAACAAACACTAAGGTTAAATTTTTAATCGCGATAGTTGGAGACCCAATACAGGAACAATAGGTGCGCGTTTGGTTCGGGTTTGATTAATTAATTTGGTCGCTAGTAACTAGTTGTAAAATACATTTTATTACTCATACCTCTAAGTATACTTTTCGCTGTTTGCGGGACCTGGTACAACCAAGATGACCAACGGGCCTCTGAGATCCCGTGCATAGGAAAAAATACTTTAAGTAATCATAGTTATCAAGATCATAAGTACATCTTCAATATTCCAGAACGTGTCAATTTTCTCAAAGATAAACAAGTCCATTAATAACAACATTTTTGTACTTTTTTGCCTCCATGAGTTAGCAAACCAGTTCCAAGATATAAAAATAGCATGGGAATCTTCCACGGAGTTATAATCGTATAAGGCACATACAGGTTAAATCAGTAAACTATGGACCCCTCAATTTGAAGGCTAAAGACAATGTTTTACCACCGGTTTACCGACTGACTAAAAACCGATTTTATTACCAACTAGCTTTACCCTACCCAACACAACGAAATTGGTTCAGCCGTTTTTGAGTTATAAATAGTGTACATAAAACAATTTCCTTTTGTATTTATCTTATAATATGTATATGTCCCTTGTATGCTTTTATATTAAAAGCTTACTTAGCTAGCTGGTGGGTTCAATCTAGCTAGTCTCCTGATGGTCGTAGTATATGTTTTTTTAGCTTTCCTCGATAAATAGACTATTCAACATAATAAGAATTGTTCAATCGAACCATAGCACCGGATATTTTTTTTTTTTTTTTCATTTATGCGCTCTTCTTTATGATGTAACACCAGAAGTAGTATTAGTCAAATAATAGCGAATTAAATTTCAATGAAGAAATTCTAACATTTTAAACTCTCTAGGATTTTTCTGTCTTTTTTTTAACAAGTTAAGATACTCATTGTTTTGAAAACTATAAATCTATTTTAATGTGTGCTTTTTAAATTTGCCAATGGACAAATATCGTAAAACAAGCCTTTTAAAACATGAATTAACGATGAGCAAGTCGCTTCTTGACTATTAGAAGAAACGTTTTTTACCAAGCAGTTATAATAATAACAGGCAGTAATGCCTGTCAAAAACAAAAATATCCGCATTAGGTTCATCGACCTAAAAGATGTAGGTAATGGATTACGGAATACATACAAATTAACACCAGGAACTTATACGTTCATGAATTATTTCTGTCACAGGCATATTTAAAAATGTTCATATTACTTCGAATGTTTTTAAACTTTATAAAATACGATTTTTTTTTACTTCTGGTCTGTAATACAGTATCATATTTTTTCCTATATTAATATAATAAACATATATACCTATATATTCGTATGTCAATGCGTAATCATATTCTTATTCTACTTTTATGTTCCAAAGTAGGTGAACATAATTTAGTTGGAATAAATGGTTTACCCTTTTGGCATTAAAATGTGAAGACGTAACAATGGAAGTCTATGCCAAGTATACAAAAGATCAGGTGGGACCCTACAGGGTCATGTTCAGCCGCAGTGATGTACCGCAACCTTGGCAGGAGAAGGTAAGGTTTTTATTCAGTAAGAGTCTGAAACTGCCCCTTGCCCAACTCTAGGCGAGAGAAATCATTTGATGATTTCTCCTCACAAACAAAAGTTTATAAGGATGGTAATAGTTATAGGACCCCTATAGGACAAAAACATAAGTTTATCTACGTATGTATATAAAATTGTAATTTAAAAGCTGTAATCAGTAAAGCCGTCAAGTAGACAGTGTGATTACTTAAATGGATCTTTAGGGAATACCCTGTGTACGAGACATTCATCTCTTTACTAAAACGTACTTGATGTAAGCGAATTTAGCTTTGAACAGTCAATTTAAGAACAAATTGACGTGGTTTCTTTTGTCAAGCCTTTTTATTCGCTCTGAATAGACAGAACAATACATTAAAGTACTGAAGGAATTCTTATATATAAAAAATATATGCCTACTTTTAAATCGAAATTGGTATACATGTCATATTGTCATACAATCCATTTTCATTTAACATTGCAATTTTATTCAACTCAACTTCTAAAATTTTCTAATGATGAATGTTATCTGAAGAACAACATTTTTTAAAGAAACAAAATTTTATCGGTCGATACAGAATCTGGAATTTGAAAATGGAACTTCCAATAACTCCGTACTCGACTATCCATTTTATAGATTCGAAGTGTTTGGAAGTAAAGTCAAAAATCTACTAAGTACTCGTACATCTTCTATTGGCAATAGGGGTTAAAATGTAATAAAGGTTTAAAATGGTATGAAAAATTAAATTTATATTTACTTACTTGTTCTGTAACCCAACAGCGCCATCCAGGGAAATTCGTCCAAGTCTGTGATAGTCCCTCCATAAACTCTGTCTCCCGTTGTGTCAATTCCACACTGGTTCCTTGGAGCTGGTGAAGAATCTTCGGAGTACACCTCACTGCTTCCTTGTGTGCCTTGTGATGGTTGGGTCGGCCGTGGCTGTTCAGTCAAATGAGATTAGTGATATTTTGAGTAATAGAAGAGAAGTATTTAATAAATATGTAGACATGTAATGTTTTTTATTATTATTTATATTTTTTATTAGTCGTCGGGACATAAGAAGTGCCATTAGAGGATTTGAGAGAATTTCGATTTTCGAAATTTTTGTGACTGCCTGTTGGTTGTTCCCGTGGGTTGTCCTTATCGCCTGGATTTTTTAAGGGATAGATCGGCAAACGACCTCAATAGTAAGTAATTGGCGATGCCCACAGATACATTCCTTGATAATTTACAAGTGCGTTGCATTGTTAGTTAGGCATTAGGGAATTGATGATGAGAGAAGGGATACATGGCTGCAGTAACACGGCGAAACATACCACAAGAGTTGTTTCGTGCCGATTTTCTGTAAGGTCGTTATGTCTCTCCGTTCTCCCTAGCCCATTCATGCCAAAGCATGATTCTCGCACACTTGCATCGTAAATAGTGTAATATGTACTTGTAGTATAAGTGACTAAATAAATCGACCTCTGCCTTCCTTTTCGGAGGAGATATATTATAAATCAAAATACAAGAATAGTTCCAATTATAATTTCTCATTAATTCGTGTTGTAAAGGTCATTGCAGCAAGATTAGCTGCTGTTGTCAGCGCCTTTTAAGGAAGACCGTTTCCTTAAAAGGCGATCAGCTTATTATAATCATAGCTTGATTTCCTATAATGAGAAGTAAGAGAGACCAGCGGTGTACGGAAATGACCTCTGGTCGATATGACGGTTATGGAGAGCTTAGGCTATTATATTTAGTCAAACTTGGTTAAGTGGGACCTGGCTAAGTGAGAAACCTCCATAACTGGAACTCATGCTGAGGTCCCAACAATTTGGCACTGAATTACCTCTGTTAGTGGGACGACGCAAACCTGTATATCTGGGATTTGTTATTTCGATTTATCATCATAGTTACCTCTATAACTGAGACAGCGAGTAAATTTTATAGGCATAAACCTCTATAACTGAGATGACATTGTTTGTTTACTCATTCTTATTCTACCCACAAATTCCACACGTAATTCCAAGTACGTAAGTACAAATTTAGAGCTTCAATTACCTTCAGTTTTAGTTTCGCTTTACTATGACACAGATGTTTATTTGAAAAATGCCAAAACGAAAACTACAATCGTTATCATTACGTGAAAAACTGAAGTTAATATCCGTTTATGAAAGTGGGAAGACACGCGAAAAAGTTTGTGATTATGCTTACCTTTAAGTACTATTTTTTTTTATTAAAACTTATTTACATACATAACACGTTATTTTATTTAATGCGATCATTAAATAAAATAACGTGTTATGTATCACTGAATAACTGACTGTATACCTGTATAACTGAAATAACCTGTATTCTCACCTCTATTAATGGAACCTAATGGCATATCTGAGAACCTGGAATGGTATATCTGAGACACTGGGTAAGTGGAATACCTCTATAAGTGAAACGACATTGCAGGTCCCTTGATGTCTCACTTAACCAGGTTTCACTGTACATAGGTTTTTTCTCAAGGGTACAACGGTACTTTGAATTTAAATATCTGTGACATTTGATGGTTGAAAAACGGCTGTGTTGATTGAGTTTTAGAATAATATCTGTCTGTAAAGAAAGTCAAAGCTTGGGCTACTAAGCTTTGACTTTTTTTTGAGACAAACAACTTCAACAAAGTCAGTATAAATGGAGGTTCAGCCGGGGTTGTGAGGCAAGCGCAATAAGGCACTGCGGCCTCAGCCTAGAGCAGGAAGAACGGGGGGTTTTAGTCAGTAAGAGTCTGACACTCCCTCTCACAACAGAAAGGATAGTGTATATATCGTCATTGCTCTCACCCCATCGTGAGAGAACACAGTTGATGATTTTCCCCTCACAAAAAAAAAGAATAAAAAGAGGTTAGATATGTTATCATATTTACCGTAGGCCTTTGTGATGTTGCCTCCTGCTCCAGTGGTAGGGGGCCACAGCAGACCCTGGGTACGTAACCTTCGAAGCCACATTGTGATCTCCTGAGGTAGCTGACCACATGAGGGGGCAGTGGACGCTGTTCGAAGGCATTGAAGAGGGGCTGACACTCGTAGAGGGAGACGCAATTACTTCGGCTACCAGTTGGAGTTGTGCATTCTTGTGATGCTGTAGAGGAAAAATAGAATACCATTAATTTTATTTTGGACATTATGAGTACATCTGTAAATACAGGGTGTAAAAAGACACTTAACGAAGCCGGAAGCCACGTATTCTACCCATTATTTGGATCATTTTTTTCTTTAAGACCATAGCTGGAACTCGACGGTTTTTCGAGATATTGAAGGTCAAAGATGCATTTTTATTTTTTGCGCAATCGAATTTTAATTATTATTACAAAACTTTTTTCCAATCAAACATTACCTGAATTTTCGTCTTTTCTAAATAAATTACGCATTTCAGTCAGTTTCCCAGTGATAATTTTAGCGTAAAGCTACTTAGTTAGAACTGCAGTATGCGTAGTTAACGGCTTCGTTAAGTGTCTTTTTACACTCTGTATATTGGGGGTGGATTATAAACATTAATGTTAAAAAAAGAAACGTTACACCATTTAGTCTCAAGTAGTCTAAATATTTTAGGAATTCGGCAAATGCTAGAGTTAAATATATAAAACATAACATACAATAGCCAGGAGTGGAGTAAACTTATATTTGAATAGTAACTATCGTGTGACATATAAAATTGATTGAAAATAAATAAGAGAGCTCTACTAATTTCAAAACACCACGGGACTCTTATTCATGACCAGCGTGTGCCTCGCGATGATTTTGTCGCGCAGCCGACTGTGTGTCTCACATGTATAAATAAAAAAAAAATTTCAATAAACTTATACTTTTCATGATCTATAAAATTACACACAACACTACTATAAGTAGTGTCAAGGTCATTTAGAGTTGTGACAATACTGTTATGACTGAGCAACTGTGTGACCTTTACTAGTGTATTATTTCTACCACCTAAAACCAAAAACATTCAACTTTATTCATTAACTACATTAAGTACTGTAAATAAGTTACGTATTTATAAGTACAGTTTTACTTCTGCCGCATAGGACTCCTAAGATACCCGATAAAAACTTCGCGTTACGATTTAATATCGATCTGAAACTCTTTCGGGGAATAACAGGTGAGAAATTGCGATCACAATTATTATTCATACGATGTATATGGCTATAAATTATAATGAATTTGCCCAACAAATAATTATTAAGATCAAAGATAACCTTTATGTCAGAACGTCATAAGGAAATGTGTATGCGGCTATTTTATCTTAATACCTACATAGAAAATTATTATGATTACATTATAGAAGCAAACAACTATATAGGTTTTAACTTTTTATTTACTATATATGCAATAAAAGTTTTAATTATATTCTTTATTGTACACCATTAGGACAAGGAAGGAAAACAAAAAGATGAAAAAATTAACAAATATGAGTAGGTACAAAAGGCGGTCTTAACACTAAAAAGCAATCTCTTCCTGTCTGGAATCGGGTGGAATGTAACCTTTGGATGGAATGGTAATAGTAAACAGGTAAACAGTAGAAGAGTTCCAAACTCTTCAACAGTATTCTCTTTTCATTTTTTTTATATGATATGACGTCGACATTCATATTATATGACGAGACGGATCTCGTCATATAATGACGTTGAGCGCGTCATATCCATGAATTCCAGACATAGTTCGAAACCAGTCAAGTTAACTCGTTCATAAAATTTAATTGTAAAATTAGTGTATTTTTTTTTTAAATAAGACAAGAATATTCTTAGTAGCTGATGAGCTATGAGTCTGGGAAAGTTTTATTGGTTTTCTTTTTGGTTAGAAAAAACCTTTGTATAGGTGATATTGTGTCTGAAGTTTGGCTGCGCTTCCAACCTTATTTCAGACTCGCACCATAACATATTATTGGTCAGTCACAATGAAAGAAGCGAAGGGATTTTCCATCCTGCCTTGGTATGAAAAAGTAAAATTTGAGACGTAAAGTTTGTATGTAAATATTATTAAATAACAACTTCTTAGTTCATCCACTTAGCCGTAACTAATAGTAGTGCATTATTATATCAATGTCTAGTAAATATGTTATTTATTTATGTCCATTATCGTATGTCAACGTGTACATTATCGTTTACACGTGCTTTGCTACTTCTTGGGAATTCCATGTGAAGAATGCTGAACGGTATTCGGATCTCAAAAAAACTTTGGTTCCTTCGAAATATCTTCTATATGAAACTTACTTCTGTACTCAGAATCAGTTGTTTCTAAATACATAATTTACTAAACAATGATAAAGTTAAGTAACCAATAAATGACCCTTAGGACGGTTGGTGAATTTAAAAGCTCCTACAATTTTTAATTTTCACCGAATATTTTTCATCAATTATGTATACTTTTTAACCTATTAATTGGATGAATGTGTGAAAATATTAATAAAGGTAAAATATTCATTTAGTTTCGTTGTTTAATATCCCAAATAATTTTATTTATGTATGGTACGTGCATACTTTCTATTTTCATCACCCTTGTACTTATAGTCATCAAAAACAAAAATGTAATGCGAAAAAGAGAATCAACACGGATTTTGAGCAAGGACAGTACAACAACACAACGTACTATTAATACTAATATTCTTTAATGTATTAAAAATCCATATCGAAAATGTAGGTACAATACACCAAAAATGTTACAAGGAAAATCACTAAACAGTTATTTACGTAAGATCAAAAAGTTACCTAAATAAACAAAACGATTAAAAGTATTGATTATACCTGTAGCAACAGGTTTAAGAACAAAAAAAACATAAACTGCAATAGGTACCTAGATACAAACAGCTCTTTGCTATGAACAGTGCAAAAAATATATGACGTAGGAATTTTTAAGACAGGTTATTGACGTAAAGGGAACTGGTTCGGTTAAGTTGAAGGCTCTGTGTACACGATACAATTTTCTTGGACATATAATAGTATCAATAACTTTGAGGCTCTTTCAAATGATAAGTAATCCCTTGAAGAAAAAAAAGTATAGAAATTCACTTCTTTTTTTTAATGAGAAGCTACCGCAACCTACCGAAACCTAATACCTAAAATTATAAGCCAGGATCTACAGTAGAAACAACTATGAAAACACCGGAACACTGAAGTCCGGGTTGTCCCAGGGACATGAATGACTATGTTCGATCCTGCAATGAAATAATTCAGAAGATATTATTTGAGGAGAAGAAAAAACGAAATAGTTTCATTTCTGTGATACTAAGTTACTTTATTATTTAAAATTTAAGCTAACATTTTACCAAAATGACTGACCAAACGAAATCTGGTAGACCAATGGAACTTAAAACTTCTTACTCTTTCTTATGTAATTAGTACAGAGATAATTGCAGGTAAAACTTTTATTTGTAATAGCTTGTAAAAGCTCTAATATTCAAAAATATGAACTTTTAAAAAAAATATTAAATACATGAACTTTTTTCTTATTATAAACATAAACTTAAATAAAATAAACAATACATAAAATAATATATAATGTGTTTATATCAAATTCGTCATCGACTACATAGGTATAATATCTAAACATATAAACAAGGATGTTATTTTTTCATTTATTTATTTCTGAACGTGATCGAATAGTGCACAAGGTTTTCCCTATTCTGTCATAAATAGTATATGACAATTTGAACACAAATATTTAAATATGTAACATACATAATATATCAATGTGTTCATTCTTGGAAAATGTTGTGTACAGTATGACTTACGTATAATAAAATGTAGTACCTAGATACTTCCTTTCATAATGTACTAAAACTTATTTATGTTTTATTGTTTGTATTTTCGAATTAATTTGACTATGAAACTTGCATCATGTTGTTATATAAATTAAAATATATGTATACCAATATTTGTAGTGTGATAATTATTATTATAGAAACAGGTAGTCTATGTTATGGTTTGCGGTCTTTATAATATAATAAAGATAATTTTACTGGATAAGGGGATTCCATAGTAGTAACGGTGCCAGGGTTGCGGGGTAAGCGCAATGAGGCACCGCGACCTCGGCCCAGAGCAGGAGAAGGAACAGGGTTGTTAGTCAGTATGAGTCTGACACTCCCTCCCGCCCGGCCCTGGGCGGGAGAAGTCATTTGATGATTTTCCCCTCACAAAAAAAATGGGAGTAACATTAATTAATCTATACATATTGAATTATAATTAGCTTTTTAGATCAGACACCGTATTCTTCTACATTGTATGTAATTCAATAATTAATTTTATGAATACTTAAAATTATTTTTACGGTACATTTAATTGACGGTACCTACATACATAAATACATAGGAATCAAAATTTACTTTACAACGTACTATTAAATGTTTAATAAAATTATGAAGGGTGTTTTTTACTTATTATTTAAATAAAATGTAGGTAACCTAACAAAACATCCTATAAGTACTTACGTACGGTTTATTTTTTAATATACCAACAGTTATTCGAGCTAACTTAGATTTTTAGAGCTATTCTTTTATCGTATTTTTTTTATTAAATTTATATCTTAACAATAATATACAAAGACATGAGCTTAGTGCACTCCATCGTTGAAAAAACCAACCGTAATTGTCAACTAAATGTCATATTCCTGCGTTCAGAAAAAAACTAGAAAAACCCTTTTCCTTGACCTTAATATGTATGTAGGGTAACTACATAAAAAGGTTACCTTAAACAATCAGATATTGTGTACGTGTAAAATTAGTTAAGAGGTTGAACAAAACTTAGTTTGAGTAGCGAGTACGTGTATTATTATGGCAATAACCTTAGAAAACTTAAAAAACTAGTTTCTTGGAGGTTATTAGAAAAACGCGTTCGCGACACAAACCATTGCTTCCGTGTTATCACTATTATCAGATGATTCTTTATTACTTTGGCACGAGCATGGCTCATTATGTGTAATCAATCCATCTCAGAATCTACGTCTATATTCATAAAGTACATTTTCTATCAAGTATCACGTTTTAAAATCAGAAAACAACGTGACCCGATCAGTTTGCTTAATCGCAACTGCACTCAAATTGTTTGATGAGATCATTAGTACGAAACTCGAAAAGTTTTCAACAATAATATAACTTTTAACACTCAGTTTTAAAGCCGAAATTTGCTCGTGAATTTCATTTGAAAATATCTTAAATACTTACACACAAAACTCCAAATCAAAACGGACACAAGAAACACCAAACTTTTCCACATTTTTTTCGTCAATAATTTACACTTCTAAAATTTAAAATAATAAATTAATTTAATTTAAAACACTGTCATCACTTAAAAGTTTGTTTAAATATGTATATTCGTTTAAATAAAGTTTGTTTAAAATTTAAAATAAATATGTGATAGTGATGCGACCAGATCGCGTTGGCCGGCTTCGTGCACTGCCTCTTGAAGGACAAGACCGTACATTAAATATAATGCCTACGCCGCAAGTCTACCTCTATCCAGAACTTTATTTATTGTATAAATCACTAATTAATACTAATATTTATTTATTATTGTTTTGTTTTTTCCTACTATTTAATGTTATCCCAAGGGATGTTCGTCGAAATAAAGAAATAAAATGTCAAACTTTTGATGTAATAGAAAATAACTACATAATTTACAAAAATGGTGTCATGGAAAATAATGTTAAAAAAAAACATTCGGTGCTTTGATACCCTATAGAAAAAGGACGCACAATACAAACCATGACGTCATAAAGCAAAGGTTCATGTGTACGAGCGAGATAACATAATATTCCTATCATCGTTCATCCATCATTGTACATAATCTTAAAATTAAAATTCTAATAATTTGGCAATTAGTATGTACCTTATAATCTATACCTTATCATATAATTATATGTATACATAATATTTTGTCTTCACGTCATCAATTAAAATCCATGACGTCATAATTATTATACAAACAACGTCACAATCTAACAATAAGCATTTTATTAGATTGAGGGTATTTTTCTAAAACAGGAATCCCTTGAGCTAATTCTTATAATTTTATTATCTATGTTCGCTTTATACGTAATTTTTTATAGATTTTCTTCATTACATAATTTCTAGAAGTTTTTAGAACGAAAGCAAAGCTTTTAATACTGTCGGAATCCAAAATCCTTTTTTTATTAATAATTGGGTAATTCCGATAGACAGAATATAAAAATTAGAAAAACACAAAACGTGCGTTAACCTGTACTGCATATATTGAGGAAAATTTTAAGGAAAGAATCAAACTTTAAAATAGAAAAGGAATATTATAAGATGGTTAGTCAAAATCAATAAAAAAATACTTAATTTATTTTCATTCCAAGAAATTGAAACCTTTCAAACTTCCCTATAGTGATCATCATCAGGGAAATTCAAATGACGTTGGCAAGACCGTTTAGATACACGTTAACTATGGATAAATATAACACAAATAACATTGGCATACTAGGTAACTTAAAACTAAAACCCATATTTACCAGAATCCAATTGTATGTAAGTACGTACAAAAAAAGATTCACACATTAACACAATACTGCTATCTCTACATACAAACATACCTAACTGGGTTTACTTGTTTATGAGAACACAACACACATACATACGAACGTGTCTCAAGATCCGCTCGCCACAGTGACTCATTCATTAACCTGTACCTTGTGTTAAAAAGAAATTGCGATGGCTATAACTTAATGTGTTATCATGACATCCTTTTACGTAAATAAACTAGTTTCTGCCAACGTTTTTGCCGACAATACCAGGTTTCTTATTCTGATATGGCGGGTGAAGACGCCTCTGTGTCATTTATTTATTTATTTAGAAAGTTTACATATACAACATTACAGCTTACGCCATTAAGTTATATTGTTAATTTTATATAAATACTATTATCAAGGTACTTAAAAAAATAATTAGGATTAAATACAAAAAAAAAACAATACAAATTTAAGGAACAAAATAAAAGTACTTAATACAACTAAATAACAAGATTGGTGATCATAGTAATCTAGTATAGTCATTCCAGACTATATAATATATCTCTGTGCGAAATTTCATTCAAATCCATTTAGTAGTTTTTACGTGACGACGATATCGACAAACCATACTAACACCCAGTTTCCGAAAAGCCGATCAATGTTAAAATCAATTTAATCTCTTGTCATGTCATCTGATTGGTTGACTGAATTATCAACAACCAATCAGATGACTTGACAAGAGATTTAACAGGAGATAAGTTAATTTTAGCGTTGACAAGCCTTTCAGAAACCGGGTGTTAGCTTTAAAAACTTTTGCTTTTATAATATTATTAGGATAATATGTAAATTCATATACATATAACACACATATGTATGTTTCTTTTTACCACTATTACATACATGTTTATTAAAAGTTGGTAGCCCTAGATACTATCAGCTGCCATCTAACTACGTTATTATAAGGACGTGGGGAGGCTGCCACGCTGTCAGAACGCGCCATGATGTCCCCCTATTTGTCTGCTCGAAGTCATTCAGCTGTATTCGTACAGCAAACGGCCAAGAGCTGAATTATATATAGATAAAAATATCTGCTATGTTAAACACTTCCGAAAGCACTTGCTTGCGTACAACAAGCATTTGAAAGGCATATACTTCATAAAAAACGTAAAAACTTACCTAAAATAATATACACAAAATTAGGTCAAACTGAAAAAAAAAACAACAGAGAATCACATATATTTTTCTCCCAAAGACTAGTTATAATTAGCGGTCCTGTTAAACCTACTTTTAAATTAACAATATTCATTCTATTATCACAATTTTATTTTCAGTTTCACATACTTTACTTTTAAAATAATAAATATTAGCGTGGGAAAATAGTCAAAAACTGGTCTTTTGGCCTTTTCGGTCAGTAGGTCTTAAGTTAAAAGGTCAGTTAGTAGACCAAGTTTAATTACTTATTATTTTTATCTAGGTCTTTCCCATCCTATATTAGTGTCTTCATAATTTTCAAACGAACGAAACAAAATCTGAATATGCAGAGAAGAAACTCTCAACAATAACTTACGAGTAGGCTGCGCGACGTCGCCGCGTCCGCGCACGCTGCTCATGAGGAAGAACCCCTCTGTGGTTCGAAACTAGTAGAGCTTTGCTCAATTACAAACGTGAGTAACCCGCGATTTTTATTTAATTTAGTATGTCTCATGATAGTTATTTTAAAAACACAGTATAATAATTATTACAAAAACTTAGAAATATTTTTGTGAGGATGGTATAGCGAAATGGGCGGAAGGGAGTCTAAGACTCTTAGTGACTAAACCTTGGACTTGGTCCTACCTTATGCTGGAGCCAAGTTAGCGTCGCCCGTGAATCCGGCAGAAAAATACAGGTAGGTAAGTCTTGTACTTTCTTCAAAGAAAAAATTAAGGTAAGTGGTTTCTTAATTTTAACCAGTTGCAGCAGGTTTCCACTCTTTGATTGATTAGATTAGAATCTACTGTGTTTACTATGAACATAATTCCACTTCCCCTTTCCCCAATGGATTACTAGACACCGCTTCTAACCAGCCAATCTACTGTTAGAAATAGAAAAAGTAGTATAACTAATTATTATGTTCAACAGCTTTTTTTTGTGAGGAGAAAATCATCAAATGACTTCTCCCGCCCAGGGCCAGGCGGGAGGGAGTGTCATACTCTTACTGACTAAAAACCCCCCTGTTCCTTCTCCTGCTGTGAGCCGAGGTCGCGGTGCCTCATTGCGCTTACCCCGCAACCCCGGCTGATGTTCAACAGCTTAAGGTTTAAAAGGTGATGGTGATAGGTTTCCCGCGTCATATGCCGCGCTGCTGCTTATGAATATAAACCCCTAAAGTGGCTTGAAACTAGTCGAGTTCCTTGTCAAACAGTTACATAAATAAGCCGTTAAAAATTCTAATTAGTTTAATATGTCCCACGAATGTTGTAGTAACAAAAACAATAGAAAAAATATGTATTGTCTTACGATCCGCTACTACATACATATACATCTAGCACTTCTGTAATAAAAATTACACATGGGTTTTTTCTTAATAAGTCCACTCCACAGTCATGACTCATAGATGATAATTGGATCCGCTGAGAAGTGAGATATAAATAAAAAATAGGTAACTGGTTATTGTCTGTTTTAATAATGATTTACTTATAAATATAATGATGAAAACAAGTGTCGTAAAATGCGTATCGTCATGTATTGTAAGTACATATGTTCTTCCCCAAAACCATTTTGTTGTTGAGAATATCCCACCATTCACTCTTCACCTTACAGCTTCTGTGAGCTGTAAACGATATGGCAGTATTCCACAAAACAAAATCTACTTAATAAATCTCTCGTTCAATTTTGTACAAAAAGAAGAAAATGTCTAGGGCTAAATCACGAGTTAATTGTGTTGCATTTGCAATCCTGATATGTCCAAATCTGGTTTTGTTTATACAAAATTGTACATACTAACTATAAAATCATATTTGTGACACAGGAGATTTTTAAATTTTACTTTTATCCCCTCAAGAAAAAGCCCTTATAGGTACAATTAACAAATATATTTGCTAACATGTTTTCTGAAGGATACAAAATGTTGTGTTTATTAATTTAACATTTACCTAAATTACTTGGATAGGTACCTGGCCCAAAAATTTTATCAGCTTTGAGAACTTGAAATAAGATAAATGTCCTGATGTCCCCAAAATATCATAAAGTTACATCAAAATCTGATTTTGGTTTTAGAATACCCATACATATTGACTTATGCCTTTGCACGAGTACAATGCTGATACTAAATCTATCGAATATTTGATGGACGTTAATACACAAAAAAATAAACCTTCAAATACATATAAACCTTCCTCTTCAATCACTATATCTATTGAAAAAACCGCATCAAACTCCATTGCGAAGTTTTAAAGATTAAGGGCTGATTTTTCAATGGTTAGATGAAAGTTACCTGGGGAATAATTATTATGCTATCGCGTCGGAATGTTTTATGGGACAGTGAACAGCAAGAATTTTATTCATCAGATAACATTTATTTGTCTATTGACAAATCAGCTCTTAAGCATGCGTATGTATATATAGGGGTAAAAATACAACTTTGTTTTATACTATGTAGTGATTTCCACCACTAATCCCCGTTTAAGCGACATCAGCGCTAACCTATAACCCAGTGCCCAATCAACCAAATTTTATCCCAAGTGGGACGCAATTTCCTCCTCGCAATTCGCTTAACCATTAACAATATTAACTTTCTAGTCTCGTCTGCTAATCTCATCGGGCCCAGTTCCGTCCTACGGCATTTGATTATACGCCTGTGACGTAATA